TATCTTGTTCTACTGAGCACACAGGCCCTCTAGCAAAATTGAAAAAATAAGAGTGACTATTAGCTGTCACCGCCCCTCCATTCTGCGGCCATTGTAGGTTAGCATCTTTCGTTGGGCTTTTAAAGTTTGTGGCTTTCACAGGAAAGGCCTCGTGGCAGGGAGAGCCCTTTGCCGTGCAGTGAGGGAGAGGCCAGGGGGAGGGAGCGGCCGGCCCTTTGGGGCAGAAAGCCCATTTCTGTCTGAAGAACCATGGACTTGATCCCCAAGGGGCAGGGAGGGGCATGACTCTGGTGCCCTGTGCCAGCAAGGTGTGCCTCCAGCTTTTCTTGCCTTCCCTGGAGGTGCAGGTGCCACAGCCCCTGCAGGCCACACCCAGGAGGGCCCACTCTAGGCACAGCCTCCACCCCCCAGGCTAGAGTGGAGTGAGGGCCCAGGCGCAAGCACTGGGGGGAAGGAAGGAAGCCGGGGTGCTGGAGCCACGGCTCTCTGCCTAGAGGCTTTCCCTGTCCGACTTCCGGGCCCTGGAGTCCTGGGGGCCCTCCGTTTGCCCCTCTGCCCCTGAACTTAAATGCCCAGTGGTCTCTGCTCCGACGGGGGTGGGAGGCTCTGCTGTGGGTGGGTGAGCTGGAAGGCACCCCACTTTGCTCCTGTCCGCCCCCAGCGCTCTTCCTCGTTGACAATCACCACGAGGTGTACCTCTGGCAAGGCTGGTGGCCCATCGAGAACAAGATCACCGGGTCGGCGCGCATTCGCTGGGCCTCGGACCGGAAGAGCGCCATGGAACTGCAGAGGTGAGCTGGTGGTGTACCTGCTGGGCCGGCAGCAGGGGCGCTCGGGGGCGCCCTCCGGAGCCCACCCCAAGCCCGCCGCGCCTCCGGACCTGCGCGCGCCCTGCCAACCAGTGTGGATGAAGTCGGCACATCAGATGTCCCCCTTCAACTTTTGGAGGCTTATTAAATCTGAGATTAGCACACTCAGCTGCCGACATGAATGAGAATTTGCTTTTCTCCCTTTTGCTCCAAGGCCATCTCGCTTGTTGCCCTCAAGGTTAGAGGCTGCATGTGGAGCGCCCTGGACTTAAACCCTCCGGCCCTCTGGCTTAGTGTGGGAGAGGAAAGGGCCCCTCTCATGTGGGTGTGCGTGCCGCCCTCCTGGAAAGTAGAGATCTTCTCCACGTTGCCAAAAAAGCCAATGTCTGCTGTTTATCGTTCTTTCCATTTTTTTAAAAATGTTTTATTTAACTTTATTTATTATTATTATTATTTTCGCATGAGTTTTGCCAGAGAAAGACCTAGAGAGAGAGAGAGAGAAAAGAAGCCACCAGGTCCGGGACTCGAACTATAGTCAACCATGTGGGAATTCCAGCACCTTAACCACCACACCACTTTCTGGCCCCCATTCTTTCCTTTTAAATAGGAATAGACATGCAGATTTTTTAAAGAATTACTTATTTAATTTAATTAATTAATTTATTTAATTTGCTGTAGGGTATATGTGCTCACCAGAGAGAGAAAGCAAGCCTACAGGTCCGGGACTCAAACCATGGTCGGCCACGTGGGAGTTCAGCACCTTACCCACCTGCTATCCCCCTCATTCATCCTTATTTTTATGATTATACTCAAAAAAGAAAGACCCACAGTAAATTCATGTTTTTTTTTTTTACTATTCCATCCACCTGAAACATGTGGTCCTTGTCACTCATGTAATTCGTGTTTTATGGGGCTGCTAGCGTTTCATTGATTAGCATCACCAAGTATGTACAATTGATTCCCCTCTTCTAAAGCTCTTTAGTAATAAACAATGGAAACTTCCCACCCAGTGTTAAAGCTACCTAGACTTACAAAATGCGGCCACCAGCTGTCTAAGTATGTCCAAGTTCATCCTGCCCAGAAGTCAGAGGGATACTTCCACAGGTGGATTCAGGAGGAAGAGAAGGCCCCGCCCAGCAGCTGCAGTGAGAGACTCTCCCCTCCAGGGATGTGGAAGATTTGCTAGCTCAGGAGGGACAGCGTCAGGTCCACCATGTGTCACTCTCGCTAGCCAAAACGTAACATTTCATACAGTGTAGTCATCCATGGGTTATGAGAAACCACTCAGAACATACATTTTCAGCAG